TTAAACGTTGTACTTAGTCTCCCCTTGTTGGTTTAAGTTTTAGTAATAGGTTGTTTACTGCATGCATAAGTAAACATTACAAGATATATACGTGTACCGGGGAGTTGCGAGGGACTCTGAAAAATAGCTCAGCTATACCCTCCACATTATGACTTATTCAATACTGAAAAAAGTTAAAAATACTAGCATGACTGATAGTACTTCTGAACAAAATTATGCAAAGGTGCAACTAGTAGCATTCTATTTGCCGTGAACAACAGATATAAATGTTGTTTCCTAAAAAACTATGTGAAACGTTGCCGTTGGACAATATATAGCCGATAATTCCATCCTCTACAGGTTACACTGGTTTTATTTTCATTTCAGATCCTCTGAGAGAACTACTCCCATAGAAGGTGCCATCATTAGTGCCCTTTAAAAAGTATTTGCCGTTAAGGTTTGAGTGATAGCAAGCCTTGTACCACCAGGCCCCTTCGTAAACTATAGCACAGTTGTTGCCGCCATATTCATCGTTGTCACTATCTTTGGTTGTGAATTTCATGTCGTTATGATATGTAATTAGATCACCAGCTGTACCTAAAATGGAAAACGAGCACTCCCTAATTATAGACGATATGAAAGGGCGTGGTTATCGTGACGCCGCCGTAGTTTATGAGTTGTATAAAATATCACAATTGTTTTTAGCATATCAGTGATGAAATAACTATTTTTTTCATTTAAGTGTCCATGGCGTTCTAGCACTTCTCGTGCTAATTGGGGGACACTGTGCCCTCACACTCACTACTATTAAGTATTTTATCACACAACACTCCTGTTATTGATTTTTGCCGAGAGAGGAAAACCGGAGGGCCTGGAGAAAACCTTAGTGGAAAGGGAGAGAACATTAACACATCAAACAAACTCAAATTCAAATATGGTCCGTTCCCGGGAATTGAACCCGGATCACAGCGGTGAGAGGCCAGCAGCTTAACCACTAGGCTACACATGCCACCCATTATAAGCTGTTTTGAGCCCAAGAACGGTTTTCAGTTAGGTGATAAGCATAGCTGTCGCTGTAGTTACAACGTTTGCAGCTGCAATATTATTTATTGTAATTAATTGTCATTGTATTCGAATTCGTTTCATATCATATTAAATCATCAGCATTGTAAAATAAATTTCTCCGTGGTTTCAAATGCATACTTAAAAAGCTGCTTACCTGAGTATGATGCAAGGCTCAGCTTGTACTTGTTTGATTCTCCAGACACTGTGAACTTGTCGTACTCGGCATAAGCACGTTTTCCTTGTTTATCTTCTAAGTCAACACGAAGACGGTTTGGTATTGCTTTCGTTAGTCGGTGGATCTTGTCAAGACCAAGCCAGCTCTCACCATAACGATCTCCAAAACCATTCTTATAGTCATTCCATCCTCGGTAAAAGTCCACCGAACCGTCTTTTCTTCTCTGGAAGACTGTCCATCCTCCCCCTGCAGTCTTCTGGTCACAGTAAACCTGGAAAAAAAGCATTGCAGCTTGGAAAAATGCTAACAAGTCAAACATTCCAACAGCTGGACAGTTATTTTGTCAAGAGTATTCTGCAATTTTTAAAGTTTTCCATACAAGTTAGAAACTGATTCTTCTAACAGCAGACCCGATTACTCTGTTCCTGAAACAGTTCTGACAAATTGGAAAGCGTCCCTGGGATGTCTATTGTTTACTAGACGCGCCGGTACCATCCAAGTTTTTTTCATGATACGGTGCAATTCCTACCACGACGCGGAATCCGGAGTGTTCGTAGGTTCCGGATTCCAAGCTCCTGGATTCCGGCCCATGAAAAATGTCGCAATGATTTTGGATATTTTATCATATTGGATCAGCCAGAATCGGCCAAAAATCACCTTTTTTACATCTTTAGTGACTCGTTCACAATCAGGAAACATTTGAAGTCATTAATTTTGTTTCCGATTTGCCAAACTTTTGTCGAGTCCGGATTCCATGTCATGGACATGGAGCGTTTGAACAAAGTACGCGATCGATACCTGAAAACCTCCGTTACTGTCGGGATACACATTGTACAACCCACTTTGCTTGTAGCCATTTTGAAGAACTTCAACACAATTTGCTAAAAAAAGGAAAGTAAATTGAGTCATTAGAGTGATCGCACTTAAACCGTGCAACTGTACAAACTAAATAGTGATATTTAGTTGTATTTAGTAAATCGTGCATGCGGTACGCAAATTAAATTGATACAAATGAAGCATTCAATACCGTCTTGCTTCAGGTCCACTTTTAGTACAAGTTAATACTACTTAGATTTTGTACAGTTGCACGCTTGAAGTGCGATCATTGTACAGGATTTACAAGGTTACTACAGCGCAAAGCTCAAAGTGTGACAACCGATGATTTATTTGTCACTATTAAAGTACAACATAAATACCACTAAATGCTATTGTACTATTATACTAAATTCTATTGTTTTCTATTGTTTAATTAGCACTATTTTGCCCTAGCTTGGGCTACCTGTGTTTTTAGGAGTAAAAATGATGACTTTTCGCTTAGATATTTCGACAACAAGAAAAACATAATGCTATAATGGAAACTGCAGAAATATGGGGAAAAGCAACGATCTGTGAATTTTTTTTGCCGAGGCTTGTGGACATTTTGAAACCCCAAGATATAGCCACATATTAATCCCAAATAGGTAAAAGCTGGATTTTTCGTTAATTTTGGAATCCTGTCCAATTAAGAAATTAATTGGACAGGTTTTCAATTGGGTTTTTGTTAAAAGCTGTGGTTGGCTTTTACCTATTTGGGATCAATATGTGGCTATATAATTAATAGGTAATAAGACTCCATGCTGTCCAATTAAGAAATAATTAGACTCGAAAAATTCCTCTGACTGCCAAATTGGACTCGGCCACGGCCTCGTCCAATTTTTGGCAGTCCTCGGAATTTTCCTCGTCCAATTATTTCTTAATTGGACAGCATGGAGTCCTATTACATATAAAAAGAATCGACAAAATTACAGCCTTGAATGACTTGTAAATTAATGAAACTTGAAATATGGAGATAGTATTTTTGAAGCGGATAATTAAGGCGAATTTGCCGGTGTTGGATGCCTAATATCGTTGGTTAATAGTTTTAAAGACAAAAAAGATTAATAATATATACCGCGGCATTTTCTCGGTCATTGGAAGAGGAACATTCAAGAATCAAGGTATTCTTGTACAGTTGAATTCGTCCAACTGAACAAAATGTACAGTCAATGAATTCAGAGTTCGAAATTCTTATAAACTTACTCTTTCGTTAAGTACAAACACTAAAACTGTGCAACATAAATACCACTAAATACTGCTAATTCTATTGCAGTTTTCTATTGTTTAATTAACACTATTTTGTAATAAATAGTGGAAAGTGTTGCACACGTTTAATTTTTGTACTCTATACAAACTTTCAGAGGTATAAAATAAACTTAAGCTTATATATTTTATAACTGGGTTAAAAAATTTTTTTGGTTCGCATGTCGATAAAAAATGATGTGTCCGTTGTGTTTACATCCCTTGAAAACAGCGTACATCTCTTAAGGCTATCATTGATAGATAATCATTCTCTTCCGTATTGATATTGGAGCTCCACTATTAGGTATTACCTAATTTTTATATTATATATATAGTTTTATTGAATAGAATTGTTGATGGTTGTACCATAAAATGAAGGACTAACCTGGGCATTTGCTTGGATTGCATTTCCTTGATTCTTTGTCGTTTCCAGTGCAATTTTCACCACCATTGGCTGGCGCAGGATTTGTACATGTTCTTGATCGTGATTGGTCGCCTCCACCACACGTGACTGAACAACGTTCCCAAGATGTCCAGGTTGACCAATTTCCATGGACTAATGTGACGTTAATAAAAATCGAAAATCGATCAAAAATTAGCGTACAAAACTATGTGTATTATTTAGACTATTTAATGTACACTGCACATGAGAGAGAGTTGTCAACTAAAACAGACTTTCAAGCAATTCTTTTATGCTTCAATACCCTTTTCGCAGTTTTCTCCACCAAATCCCTTGTTGCATTCGCAGTGAGAATGCTGCCTGTTCTCCTGCAAAACGCACTTGCCGCCATTACGACAGGGCGTTTCTTGGCATGGATTCTATAAAGACAAATACGGAAGTCGTTAGATTATGACTCAAAATACATGCATGTATTATTTGTTAGAATATAAACACGGTAGACTTAGGTAATCTCTGGAAATAGAGTCGTGAATAATTTTAAGTTTAGAGCAAAATCACAACAAGCGACATTTCCCTGAAGCATGTTGCATTGGCACCTTGACATTCACTCAGTTTAAACTACAGGATAGCAATTTATACCTGGCATTTTACGAACATAGCTACTAACAGTAGCTATTTTAACCTGTATTTATAGAATCGTGCGAACCAGAAGTTGAATTTTAGATATACGCGCGGTATCCATAACAACGGTCTCTTTGTAAACACTTTGCATGCTGATGAAGTTATTATAGAAGAACGAAACGTCTAAATAACTTCATTATATAATCAACCCAGAGACAAAGGATTTTTAAAGTGTTTAAAGACTATTTAATGAAAAATGTCGAAACACTTGAAAAGGCACGAAGCAACGTATTTTGACCAAGATACAATTTCTTGGGAATTTTGCCAAAAGATTTTGGAGTATATGACGTCATATACTGCATCCTTTTGTTCTTTTTTCGTTTGAGTCAAGTTTTTTCTACTGCGTAGCAAAACTTTTTTTCTGAGAAGGTATAATAGGCCATAAACAAGTCGTATATTTGAATAACGCAGCGTTTTGAAAAGTAGTGCTTCTTCGTGCAAGTAACACTTTAAATCTCAAATTTCATAATATAAATTAAAGCATTTTTAAAGATCGAAATTTTGAGCTATAGGAAAACGAGATTTCTTGAAAAAGATGTCAGATGAGTAGCGTGTTTATAGACTTGTTAGAAGAAGTTTCTGACTAAGTATACTAAGCCGAGGTTTAAATTTTTTTTCCTTACCTTCACGCTATAATGGTTGTACGCTTTACTTGGTTCCATGTACTCTTTCCCAGCGAACTGTTCAGATGAAATCAGTTGACAGGCGTGGAGACCGTTAGATCGAGGWGCGATTTTAAAATTGATYGAACGGCACCAATGGACACCCATGCATGCGAACACACATTCCATGTTATCGGCAACATACTTGGTTTTCTTCATTGCTCCCTTTGGAAGGGAAAGCTTTTGAGCAGGATAAAAGTCAAAAASAAGACCTTTTTCCCTGTCGTAGTTTGGAGGGTAAGCAAAATGGCAAGAACTGTAGCTGGCGACATTTAAAAGAAACATGAAAAAGGCTGATAATCTTAGCAAGAAACTAGACATGTTTGTTCGCTCTTTCACAATGTTGTTTGAAATGAAACTATGCTCTTTCAATTGACTTTGTATACCAGAAGTCTATGAATGTAAAAATAGATGGGTTGTACCTTTCAAACGGGACTCACACAAGGCTTTTAAATATAACTCAATTAACTGATTATTGTCAATGACAAAAGATTGGCATCTCTTAATGATTCTTCATATTGTTTAAAAATTGATGCTCGAAATTGGTATAATTTGGTAAATAAAGTAATTTGAAAAACAAATATCAATATAACCGATTCACAAGTGCTGTCTGAGCTGAGCATCCGGCAAGTAAGAAATAAAATAAGAAGTTTGAAATAAAAACAAAACAAACTTTTTGAAATTGATATAAAAAAATATCATTAGTTAATTGATGTTTCTGGAAAATATAAATGTATATGTTGGCAATTCTTCCATAAATTCCTGTATTCCTAAATGTGTCATTTAATTAATACTTTACTAAGTTGACACGTTATCTGTGATCAATGGAAGGAAAAAAGCCAACTGGGACACCTCAACTATGAGTTATT